GAAACTCCATGATTCAATGCATATCACGAGATAAGGATCTTCAGTTTCGTCCGTATCATTCGATTAACTTTCGATTAGTAGAGCTTCATAAATGAAATAAAAGATCTAACACCTTATTTATCTCTAAGAAAACCAAAACTTAACTTTGAAAGATCCAATTTCATTATGGTGTGACGTCACATGAAAATTGATGCTATTTGTTTGTAAAACTTTTGCCATTTCAAATTTGAAAGTTCTGGCCACACTTATACTTTGCTTGAGAAAAGCTAAAGTTTGATCAATATTGTTAACAGGAAAATGATATACTTTGAGCATATTGGAAGACCGGACCTTGCAAGTGTGTCGCATGCAGGATTTAATAAAAGTTCAACATTTGAATTTTCAACCTCACACTCAAAATATATAGTTCTATGAAATCATTTGAAATCTGATGGGCATTGTCCATGTGCCAAGAGCTAACTGGAGCTTATTAGCGTACTAAAACATGCAAATGGGTCCCACTTGTTATAGATGCTTTCCCAAATTCGAATTTTGTAATGTAACTTGGTGCATGGAGGAACAATTATTTGTATCTTGGTCCCAATATGCACCAGACCCGCAAATCCATTTGAGTCTTCCTTGGTAGTAAGAATTGTCTTAGTTATATCCAACTTGGTGAAATTGGGTTTAGAATTAATAGTTCCAATTCTCGTGGCATCCAAACACTCATTTATATAACCCAACTCCAATTCTCGAATTCTAGCCCCAATATATGAGAGCAAAACAAGGTGCATGTCTTTTAAAAGTGCTAAAAATGAAAACACTCTATGCAAAATATTTTTTTACCAAATGGTATAGTGCGTATTATTGTATATTTAGGACAGAGAAAATTATATTAGGAGTGCAATGAAGGGGCAAAAAGGGTATTTTACTCATTTTATGGAGTTCTCCTAATGTGAGGATAACAAAGTGGCATCTTTTTTTAAAGGGGGTTACTTTGACTCGGTAAGTAACATCAAGGCGATACAACCAACAAGACTTCAGAAACAACCTTTTTTTAAGAAAAAACAATAGGGAAAACCCCTACTGTAACTCCTTTTTCATTAATAATGGTGGTGCCATATACATATGGATGTACAACATACTGATGTATGTAGGAATTCTACAGTTACAATGTGTCTAACCATGCTTGCATCCCTCCCTTCAGGCTAGGTTTGGCTTTCTTCATAATTGTCACAAACTATTATTTAAAGTAGCTTATAGCATAAGACATATCTCTAGGTTTATGGTAAAATATAATGTTGTTCCTGTGTTTTCATATGGTCCAACAACCAGTGTAGCTATAGCATAAAACACACAAACTGTGTTGCTATGTATCAAATTTTACACACATCCTATGCAATATACTTATTACATCGACTTATTACAAAGGTCTTTTACCAGTTTGCCACTAGTTGTGTCACACTACTCAATTTTGCCACTAGAAGTTTCAACTACCAAAAATTGCCATCCCTCCATCAAGCTATGCTAAAAAATGCCACACAACATTGTTACCATTTGGCCTAAGGACATTGACTAGGGCGAAGTGACCAAAATATCCCTATAACCCACATGTCAGCGTTTCCCTAGAACCTGTGGGTCCTAGTTGTCAGCACATAGAGAACTAAATTAGAAGATAAAATAACGACATGCATGGATTCGATCACCGGAGTGTGAAGCTATTTTTGCTTCTAATTTCATTCTTTACATGCTAAAAATTAGGACCACGGTTTATAATGAGTTGTACAGGGAATGATGAATACTAAGGTCAAGGGGTATTTTGGTCACTTTGCCTTGGCCAATGGCCTTTGATCAAATGGTGACATTGCGAGTGGCATTCTTGAGCACATGCTTAACAGAAGGATGGCAATTTTGAGCAGTTGAAACTTCTAATGAAAATATTGAGTAGCATCACCCAACCAATGGAAAAATTGATGAAAACCTTATTGAAAATGAGTAGTCTAAATCAAAAGGAGAAGGAAACCTATAGTAATGGAGGACCGATCCAAAAAATGCACCACCATCCATGATGTGAACAACTCATTGGTTATCCACTGTGTTTGAATACAACTAGCCATAAAGAACTCATGGTGCCCCAACTATTGAAGAAATCACAAAGTTCAGAGTTAGTTCGTGTATTAGTTGATAACCTTGAGTGAAGGATTTTTCGGTTTAAAAAGGTCACATCATTTCTACACAGCCATGATGACCATCATTATGCCGACACCCTTGGCAAGATCAGGGTTCGAAGTTTCATATCATTGTCGCACAACCAATTACCAAACATATGGTAACACTCCATTGCGGATATAGAAATTGGAAGCAATCTGGATGATGAACCATGCACAACGAGAAAAATTACACTCACATGAAAGGTAGTTGATTGTTTCATATTTAGAACAAAATCAACATTGTTTACTTCCATGCCAATTTAAGAGCAAGATCGTCCCTTCTTAAGATTACACTTTTTGTGTATTTTCAAAATAAAATGTTAACAACATCGTTTCCATTTTTTATTAGTGCACCACAATATACAGAGGGCAAGATGTAAAGAGTTAACATAAGAACACCTATTCTTGTGCAAATTCCATTGGAAATCATCATGCTTGAGGGCCTCTATGATTGAAAAGATATCCATAAGAATTTTGAAGACTTGGAACCCTTACGAGTTTTTCCTATATAGGTTGTTTAATTCATATGATTCAATACTTAAAAAATCCTCCTTTGATTCAAAGGAATTTCTCAGGATTTTGTTAGGACTTGTATCCTCTATATGGATTGTTTTGCACTCTATTTCTGAGGAAAATTTCATACACTCAAATCCCTGTTCATAATTCCTTTGTTTTTTCCATGGCATTACAATCTTTGATCCAAAATCTTGTTGTTTTATAATCATGTAGGATCACATGCCACCCTAATAATGTATTTTCTTCAATCCCCTAATTTTTAAAAACCCTACAAAACCTTTTTTTCAAATACGCACGAGTGTGCGTATCATATATTATTGAAGAGAGGGTGGGGAAAGAACCCCTCCACCGTATAGTTAAACATACATGTGTCTAAATGACGCTCCACGTCCACCTAAGTTATAACTCCCTAATATCTCATATCCGCCCACCTGATTAAATACCCAAGAAAGCTACCCATATCTCCTAAAAAATATGAATCAAAGAGGCCCAATTCATTTTCCCTACATTTCGTAGGAAATTTAGGTTCCACCCCATGCCTATTTGATTCAAAGGATTTGCATAAGACTTTTAGAGGATTGAAATTATTAAGATTTTTCCAACATTATCTAGTTGATTTGTAGGATTGAACTATATTGGATTTTCCGCCGACGATCTCTTTACACTCCCTTTGATAGGAATTGTAGCATTCACTCAAACCACTTAGAAATAATCCCGTGCCGCAATCAAACAACAAAAAATAGTTATGGTTTGAATGGCCGTGGCACTTTAATCCCGCGGTTTTACAATTCTACGAATCAAAGAGTTCCTCAATCCTCTTAGAAATAATTGTTTGTTTTTCGTGTGACGCAATCAAACGGACGGAATCCCATAGGATTTGAATGTGTATGCCATTTAATTTCCGTAGCAAGCCTATTTTTGCAGCACTAAATATGTACCTACGGGGAAAGTGCGGGCTAGTCACGGTGACAGTATGAATCTTGAGGAATACATATTGACCAAACAAGAACTCTTGTTGTTTTATAGTCATGCAAGATTCAAGAGGACATGCCACTCCAATAATGTATTTTTTCCCTATCCCCTCGTTTTGAAAAACCCTGCGAATCAAAGAGGCTATAAGGAATTAAGGATACATTTTCCCTAAATTTCATAGGAAATTTTTGTTCCACTCCGGGCCTATTTGATTCAAATGATTTGCATAGGAATTTTAGAGTGAAATTATTAATATTTCCCTACATTATTTGATTGATTAGTAGGATCGAATTATATTGGATTTTCTCGAAAGGTTCTCTTTGCACTTCATTCCAGAGGAATTTTAACATTCACTCATACCTCTTGGAAGAATCATGTGACGCAATTAGACAACAGAAAATAGTTACGGTTTGAATTGGCAAACGACTTGAATCCCCCGGGGTTTCAGTTCTACGAATCAAAGAGACCCTCAATCATTGCATGGAATTCTGTTAAGATATTATATGAAAGTCGAATTTATTCCACTCTCATTTGAGAGTGCGAATACAAGGAGGTATTTTGTGTTTGGGAAAGTCCGAATAAAAAGGATTTTGAACCTGTGTTTTCCTTCTTTCCCTTAAAAAAAGAACTCAATAAAAATCAAATTATTTACTCTACAAGAATGAAATGCTTGTTATGCCTAATATACCTAGTTTAACACGTATCTATTTTAATTCTGTTCTTTATCTTACTAGTTTTTTCTTCACCAAATTGCCCGAAGCTTATGCCATTTTCAATCCAACGGCGGATATTAGGCCTGTTATACCTCTATTCGTTTTTCTATTAGCCTTTGTTTGGCAAGCTGCTTGAATTCGTGTGACGCAATCAAACAAACGAAATCCCAGAGGCTTCGAACGTGCACGACATTGAATTTCCGTAGCAAGCCTGTTTTGCAGCACTGAATCTGCACCTACCGGGAAAGTGCACGCTAGTCACCACGGTGACAGTATGAATTTGCTCGAATCTTGAGGAATGCATCTTGACCAAACAAGAAGGCTTAAGGTCATTGAAAAGAGAGAGAAAATTCAGAAATATCAGAAGAGCGTCGTGCGTGCCGCAGTGCAGTGAGGCGAGGCTGCGAGAGCCACTTAAATAGAGAGCAGCGGCTTCACCGCTTGAGGCGCGGCCACCTCGCCTTGCCCCCTTCTCCCCCCTCCTCCACTCCCACTGCCAGCTCCGGCGGCATACCCCGTCCGGATCCTTACCCTCATGGTACTTTGACAAAGCCCACCAGTGCTACCGTCCGGCGGAGTGTACATAACGGAAGCACGGAACGGATCGAGAATGGAGGCCGAGGACTACGCGGCCGGGTGCTGCTTCTCCCTCATGTGCCAAGAGGACGGCGCCGACCTCGGCGACGGCTTCGCCGACGACGACGGCGGCAAGCTGCTGTTGATGTGCAGCGCCGGCGACGACAACGACGGCGAGGAAGACGAGGAGGGGTACATGGACCACCTGGTGTCCAAGGAGAGCAGCTTCTGCTCCGCCGATCCGTCGCCTTCCATGGCGTCCGAGGACTGGTTCCAGTGCGCGCGCCGCGACACCGTCCGGTGGATCCTTGAGGTGAACCATCCAACAGACGCGTCTATATATCTGCATCCATTGGTTTGTTGATGATGGAACAGAGCCCCTGACATATCTCGCCGGCGCCATTGCAGACGCGCGGGCACTTCGGGTTCTCCCACCGCACGGCGTACGTGGCGATTGCCTACTTTGACCGCTTCTCCCTCCGGCGATGCGTTGACGTACGTGCACAATCGGCATCCATTGATCCCCTCTTAGCTTCCTCTGCTTCTTGAACGACGCGGAGACTGGTGACTGATTTTTTGGTGCGTGTGGGTGAGTGCAGAGGTCGGTGATGCCGTGGGCGGCGCGGCTGTTGGCCATCGCGTGCGTGTCGCTTGCGGCGAAGATGGATGAGTGCCAGGCGCCGGCGCTGTCGGAGTTCCGCGCCGACGACGACTACGATTTCAGCTGCGACTCCATCCGCCGCATGGAGATGCTCGTGCTCTCCACGCTCGACTGGCGGATGGGCGCGGTCACGCCCTTCGACTACCTCCCCTGCCTCTCCTCCAGGCTCCGGCGATTCAACGGCGGAGGCCGCGGAGGTGGCGGCGGCCTCATCGCCGTCAAGGCCGCCGCCCTCATCTTCTCCGCCGCGGAAGGTTAGTTACTTGACAACCACATCGATTCATAGACCGTGCTCTGCTTTTATCAGCTGACCGTGCTCTGTTCTTGCAGCCGCGAGCGTCCTCGACTACCGGCCGTCCACCGTGGCCGCCGTCGCCGTCTTGGCGGCCACCCACGGCGCGCTCACGAGGGAGCCACTGGAATCCAAGATCAGCAGCCTCTCCCCGACCTGCCTCCTCGAGAAGGTGACTTGCTCGTCCTCGTCCACCATACTCATAGCTCCTTCCAGTGGGTCGTCAAACCAGTTCGCCTGATGGCCGATGTTATTGTGGTCAGGAGGATGTATATGCCTGCTACACCATGATGCTGCGCGATCCATCGTCGCCGAGCAAGACGGCCAAGAGATCGGCGTCCGACCGGGGCGACGCCGATAGTACATACGCACGCCTGGACGCCGCCTCCTTCTCCGTCGCGGCGGCGATGAACAACAACAAGAGGGTGAGGCTGGAGCTGCCGGCCGTCCACCGGTGATCCAAGCCCGCCTCCACGGCACGCTTGTTTTTCCCTAGGTGTCCAGCCGCGCGGCCGGAGCTTCATTAGTATAGTTGGTCGTCGCAGCAGTTGCAACTCCGGCCATTTTCACCCTCGATTTCTTTCCCATTTCTCTAGATTTTTTAGTTCTTTGATCGGCGCACTGCCAAACAATCGGTTATTGGCAGTGCGGCCGGATTGGATTGGTTTGATTCCCGCGTGCCATCGAGTGGAGACAAGAAGAAGAAAAAGAAGAAAAAAATAATCAAGAAGGTGGCGAGCTTGATGAGGCCCGAGCTTTCCTACGGAGAGGAGAGCATAAAGCAGCACAGGATCGGAGGGAAAGCTTGGCTGGCTGCAAAGTTGCACGTCGGATTCCACTTCCTGGGAAGCGGCAGCGGCGGCGGCAGCTGGCTGGTGTAGTGTAGGAGTAGAGAATAAATATCTCTGAATTCATATGGAGGATGTAGAATGGTGGTGGTGGTGGTGGTGGCCGGTGCTGTTGTTGCAAGTTGCAAAGCAAGTACCATGGTCCATTGCCCTTGAAAATTCTGATTTGGTTCAAAGGCGGGCTAGGCCTTTTGCTTCCTTCCCCACCCCTGCTCAAAGTGGACGCGCACACATGTACGAGTGGTGGTGGTGGTGGCTACTCACAGAGCAGCAGCGCTGCACTTCACTGCACTTGCATGTGGTTTTTAGCGGTTCATTCTGCCACGTACTACTTACTGAATCCCTGTTCGTTGGAAAGATGGCTGGTACGAGAATAATCCACACATGTTCGTATGTGTGTAGCTCTACATCTTGTATACCCACCGTTTATGAAGACAACAGGATGTATCAACGACACGGAGCCTGAAGTTTCGAGCAGTTCGAAAACCACATTTCAAGGTTTTGAAAAAATATGGAAAAATACACATGTACACAGGGATGGTGTGTAAATTTTCAATATGAATTACATTGTTATGTGATCTACACAAGAATAACATAATCATGAACTTTTGTAGTGAATAGTACATGTGCTAAAAATACATGATTTTTTTTGGTATGGTTCACATCATAATGTATTTCACCATGAAACTTTGCACAGATGTGGAAAACATCCCTATGTACATGTGTAATTTTTTCAATAAAAAGTTTAAAACACCAAAATTTGACTTTCGGAATTTTGAAATTCCAGGCTCCATGGAGCTCGAGCTCCATTAGCAATTTCCCTATATCAACACTTTATAACAATACGATGGATGAACCAATGGAGACACTGAGGATGCACACAACCAAATTATTATCGAAAAAAACATAGTGACCAAGTTCTCTTGCTGAAGTGGGTATCGCCACGGGGAAGCGATTTTCAACCCTCATATTTGGAGAAGAACCTTCATGTGTCATTGTTTTCAATTTCAATCACTGAAGGCAAATTAGAAACTCTCAACCTAGATAGTAGGTTCAAGTGTCGTATGGAGGTCAACATTCGACCAAATAAAGACTAGACATAGGGTTGTCACAACCCAAAGCTCAAGAACCCATAGCTTGGTATCATTATCAAAATTGAAGCCCCAACATTGTCGTCCCTACATGCCAAGTCAACATCGTTTTACCTCATAATTTTGATAAACTACAACACACGACAAAAATGTTGAATGCACATTGCATGTTCAAATGAACGCTCACCATAAACAACTTGACAACTAGAAAACCTAAAAGTCACACTATGTGTGGAACAAGTTGCAGCCAGGAAACCATAGTTTGGATCTAGGTCTCCGGGGCAAATAGAGAGTTGTAACTCAAGGGTTGCAAGACTCCGTTGAACGTGTAGAATGATTTGGAGACAACTCGGAGGTTCCATGCCCCGACGCGTCTAGGAAATATACAGGCTTAATATTGAGCTATAAATCGAGAGTTGCAAGCCTCTAACGGCCCAGAGATTCCGGAGATTCTGGAACCCATAGGTTATAGGGTACACAGAAGAACTGCAAAGATAGTGACTATACATGAGCTCTTTCTTATCTTTTTGATGAGTTTGTGGGTACAATTTTGTATGTGTGCATGAGTAGATTACCCCCTCTTTCTCCAAAGTACACACCCTTTTATAATACGACTTTTCTAATGACTCAAACAAAAGAATCAT